CAACAGCCTAAAAAGCTAGCTAGAGCTGTAGACACTCGACCCCGCCCTTCTCTTTCGGCGTTCTTACTTGGACTTCTTGCTCTCCCGGTTCCTGTTAGAGGTGGTTCCGAAGGGGCTTCGATATTGCATCACGTCCACGAAGCTACCACCCTACTACAGCCTGACAGCCTCCCGCCTGCCGAGGGAGGTGGTGTACACCCTAGCCGGGAAGCTTCTGCTCCCGATCGGCGTGCCAGCGAGCCTATACAGATCTCCGTTGCCAGATGCCAATCAGAATCACATTTTGAGGCATACGGCGAGGTCTTACCTGCGCCCTTGCTGAGGGTTTGTGTTCTCGTTCCTGGCCGCCAGAACATTTCTGTTCATCTTGAGTCCGCCGAGGGAGACATTGCTGATATCATTGATAGAGTTCGGGTTCGGATTGACAACTCCTTTGATGAACCATATGATCTCATTCCGACTACCCATCAGGCCTTGTCGGGTATTATCACGCTTGTTGCTACAGCCAAGTGGATCAATGCCTCACTTCGTTCAGTCATTGTGTACGACCTCACTGCCATTGGCTGTCCACTTTTTGCGGCAATAGATTGGCAGCTTGTTTACAGAAGTGAAGTTGAAGCCCTTGCTGCCCCTTATAGTGCCTGTCGGGTAAACGTCTATACGCAAAACTGCCCGGTCGGCTGGGCAGCTGGCACTCCGTACAAGCTCACCTCCGGGCAGGTTGTCCAAGTCCAGTTTGCCGACACCAGACCGAACTGGAGAGATCTTCCCTCCGGGTCCTTTTGGGCTCTCTGGACAAGATATGAGCCGCAAATCCCGATCTGCCAATCCTGGGACAGATGGCTCATAGTCAGGGAAGATGGGGAACGACTGCTCCAGGTTGAAAGCGACTGCGCAGATAGGCTCTATGGGGCTATTGCTGAGCAGATTGGCTGCTCACTTTCACAGCTTTGCTTTCAAAAAGACCCGCTCGGGATTGCCACAGGGGATTATGTCTACAGAGGTAAACGGGTTGCAGGGATAGTTGCCGTTGCTCCCAGGGATACCGGCCCTCTTGAGGGCTGCTTTACCTTTGTTGACGCACGGAAAGTAGGTCGGGGACTTAGGGCTTTTCTCCGTGGTGTTTGGTCAGATGCTTCTGCCATTCTCCGCTGCATCGACCCGCAGGTGCCTGCTGGATACTCGGTCTCCCTATGCACTAGGACGTGGGGCGGCCCCTCTGCCCATGACATTCAATGGGACTGGCAGGAAGTTAGTTTTAGGTTTGATAAGGCAGACTCCCATTGCGAGGTTGCAATTCCTCCCCTTGGGTACGAGGATAGCCAAGCCCCCCTCGAAGCGAACCACTCTAACCTATGCCAGACCCGCAGTGCGGACTTCGAGCCTGCTACAGGCATTTATGCTGCGATTACTAGTGGGTCATCGGACCCACATCTTGAAGCTGGCAATGCAGTCGACTTAGGACCTAGGCAAGGGCTCTGGTTTCTCATATTCGCGCCAGACCGTGTCCCTGAGCACATTTGGATCGAGGCAGCTGCACCTGTGCTGTGGGAGGATGCCTACACCTCGGTTTGTGCTGCCAGGGATCCCACCCATAGTGCCCTCTTTGGTCATGTCTGTAAGGTGCACCCACAGCCTTGTGACACATTCGCAAGCCTTTTGTGTGTCCCTTCGTGGGCTAGCCAACGTACTGTTGTGCTACTCGACAGTCGCTCCTTTGATGGACGAATGTACTGTCTGTTAATCGATCCCTGGATCCAATGGGCCTCCTTTCTCCTGCATGCTGGCCTTCCAGACACTGACGACTTCATTGTTGTCCTTAATGGGGTTTCTCGTGCAAGGGGTCGGCCCCTAGTTCTACGCCAGGGGGACATGATTCAGGTCCTCGAGTATGGCAGGGCTATTCCTCCTGCCCTTGATCTGATTGCCTTGCTTGCCGCCGGGAACAGCTGGGAGGCTGATCCTCCTGTTGCTTTCTCCTCCTCGTTCTCGCATTTCTGGGTGCTGCACGAAGGAGGTTCCACAGGTATTGATGCAGATTACCATGCCATCGACAGTGCATATGGGTTCCAAGAGTTCGCTGCCGATACACTGCAGTTTGCCCACTATCGCACAACCTTAAAAACTGCCTCACCTCGCATCCAGGATGCTGTATATAAGGGCGTGCTTTGTAAGGCTGTCGTCCTTGTGACTGAGTGCCTGCCGACCCTCCCGGTCCCTCCTGCCCGGGTGACGGCGCCACTTACTGTTGTCTTTTTGGATAAGAGGCCAGTCCTTCGTGGGTTTGATTGGAGAATCCTTGTTCGGGGCGAAATTGATTATGAGGTCTCTGTTCGCGGACTGAACCTTGAAGCTCCTCAAGGCCATGTTGTCCAGGTTCACGGAGGACAAAGAGTCAAGCGTAATGGGGTCGTGTTCCTCCAGGCAGAAGACCGGGCTGTCATCACCATTTCATATGCTGCCCACGCAGGGGCAAGATCTGCTGATGGCTCTGCCACTGCTGGGGATAGCTCCGGTCCCAGTTCAGACTCTGACTCTAGCTCAGATGGTGATGATCCATCTCCGCCCGGACGTGAAAACCATGGCGCTAACCGGAGTAGATCTCCAAAGAGCCGGCGTGGTAAACGCCGCAATAGAGGACGCGCTGTTAACGTCAGTACAGCTGAGCCTACACCAGCTGCGCCCGCTTTTACTGTCGTCGGCCCGATCTCGTTACTCGGGCCTGGCAAGCGCACTCACGGCCCTCCCTCTGACTCCCTGGGCTCAGTTCTCGTCGAGTTCCGACCTGCTGCTGGTGTGCGTTACAATAGCAGTGGGACACCATGTCCATGGGCCTTTGATGGCACTACTTGTAAAATTCTGGTTGAGCCTCAAGCTAGCTGTACTGACGGTGAGTACATAGTTGCCCACCTACGATATGTTGCCCCTAGGCTTGGCGCTCCCTGGCGCTACATGACGCCAGCTAACGCACCGCACATAGAAGACGACGGTTCATCTGAATCTGACCTCGGCGTCCCTGAACTCCCGCCTCTGCGGGATTGCTTTTGCATTCTCACTCCCGGATACTCTGCTGAAAGAGTAGGGGTCAGTCTCAACTTGCCGACCACAATTGCTGAGGTATTGCCCATAGTCCAGGCTGCCAGATGCCAACTTCGTGCTCGCAACTTCCCCCGACTCATACCTGCAAGCCCTCAACCCTTGACCGGGGAGGGAGTCCTTCTTGCTGGGCCTGTGTGGTCTGTTGAGGTTGCCACCGCTCGTAAGCAGGTTTGCATTGACTGCTCTGAGCTGGATGGTCGGATTTACTCTGCTCTTCTCCCATCCTATGTCAGCGGGGCTAACATACCACGCTTTGTTGACCTGCCCGCGAATCTGCCTATCTCTGTCTTTGCTGGTCCGTATGGGGATCTTCTGCGGTGGGACAGTCAGTGCCACCTTGCTGATGGTGATACCATCTTTGTGCTACCAGAGGATTCCGCCTCACCAAGCGTAGTACCTTTGCACGTCGCCTTGCTTGGCAGGCAGCATTGGCAAAAACAGCCCAAGATTCAGGAGCCATCCTGTCACGGCAAGTGTTGTGTCGTCTTTGGGGAAGACAACATCTTGCATATCAGTTCCAATGGGCATAGGGGCTCCTTCCGAGCACAAGTAGCCAATGCACTTGGAGTTCAGCAGAGGTTTTTGCGCATCGTCTCATCTCGACCTCGCGTTCTTGATGCAGCCATTGAAGGTTTTCCCTGTGGATCCGTCCTCATCGTTAGTGAGGATGTGCTGCCAAGTAGAGATGGGCCCTCCCGTGTCTTGATAGACGCACGTAGTATCTTTCTTGGCTGGCGTAGTATTCCTACCAGAGAAGACCAAGTATCATGCCGTGACCTCATAGACAAACTCCTGCAGGAACTAGGCTCTGGTTGGCGACTTTGGTTCCGTGATGTTCCCATCGGCACCGATGTCATTTCAGTCCAACCGGGGCAGGTCTTCGTAGTTGATGTCCTCTATGAGAGAGTTATCCCTCCGCAGGGAAACATTGCCAGCCATACTGCCTCAATTACTGCACCAGCAATCGGCCAGTCACAGCCCCCCCCAGACCACAATGGTGCGGCTGGAGCCATCCATGGAGGTGGTGGGGCGGACAGCAGCCATCAGGACAGCGCAGCCAATCAGTTGCCTGGGCAGGCTCCCATTGACACCGTTCAAGAGGTCGCTGGTGCCGGTGCAAGGGGGAACGACAGTAGCATTGAGTCTGAGCCTGCCTACTTTGAGGTCACCTTTTTGCTCCTCAAACAGAACTACATACATGAATGGGTCTCAGTCAGAATAGCCCATGGTACAGCAGTGCATGATGTACTTAATGCTGCTGCCTTAGCCCGGCATCCTGCTGCTGCGGTCCGCATGCCAATTCTGTGTGCTGTCAATCCCCAGCCATGCAATGATGTGGCGCTTGCTGTTTGCCTTCCCGACTGGCCACACCCAGGTGCCTTTGTAGTCATCGACAGCAGGGCCTCCAACGGAAGGTTGTTTGCAGTCCAGGTTATAGGGCGTTGCTATAGGCATGACTTCCTCAAACTTGCTGGTCTTTCCGACGATGAAGGGAACGAGGTCTATTTTAGAGACCTCCCGTGGCCTCTACCTGCTGACAGCGTTGTTGGCCCTGAGAATGGCGACCTAGTACTCATCCGACCGAGGCATGCTGGGGTCCATACTGTCAGCAGTCTGGATGACATGCTACGAGCCAATGTATGCTGGGCATCCTGCCCTCCTGAGATTGAAAACAGCTCCGACATTGCGTGGGTGCTTGGTCCTTCCGGATCTACTGCACTGCAGGTACCTCCAAGGCGCCAGCATAGGGCTAGACAGGAGATTGCAGCAGCTACTGGCATTCCTGACAGGGAGTTAGCTCTCTCACCAGCATTTGGGGGTATTTCTGACTTCGCTGATTTAGGGGTGCTGTTGCGCAACGTAGTTGTTGCGCGCATGTCTGTCGATTCAGAGGGGCGCAGGGCTGCAGGGTGCCCTGTCTGCATCCTTGATCTTCGGCCAATTTTACTTGGCTTTGATTGGCTGGCCTGTCCTGAAGGGATACTTCTGCCTGAAAGGCTTGCTGACAGGTTCAGCAATAGATGCCCCACTGGCTATGGCATTGGACGCATCGTCCGGGGCACCTTTTTCCTTAGTCTGCAGGATCCCTTCATCATACAGGATGGTGATGTCATTACCCTAGCATTCCGCAAACTCGAGCTTGATCGGGGCGATGAATCTGGCGGCGCTCCCGCTGATTCTCCTGGGCCCACCGGCTGGGGCGACGAAGAGGACACCTGGGGGCCTACATCGGGGTGGCCAGGCTCTAGTGGTTCCACTGCTCACGATTCAGTTGACCCGTTCTCCATTAACCCTTGGTTCCCAGGGGGAGCTCCACATTCTGCTGCTTGCAAGGGTGGGGCCGGTAAAGGAGCTTTCATTTCTCTTGCCAAGTGGTGCAAAGGTTTTTTTGCAAGACGTCTACCTCATGACGACCATTGCTTCACCCCTGGCACTCTGAAAGTTCCCCTCCCAGCAGGGCTTGCTAGCCTCTGGGGCTGCCTCATTGGAACTGTTGGTCTCCTCCATCCCTGGGCTTCAGCTTGTCTTCTCGCTGCTGTTTGTGTCCCGGTCTCAGGACACTCACCCGTGCCGAGAAGGGTCCTTTGGCTTATTTGGCCCCTTTGTGTAGCCCTCCTTGCTCACTGCCAAGCAGATGCTGCTATCATAGAGATACAGGCTTCAGGTAGTGTTGATCTAGTTAAGGGTGTTACACTTGACGAGCAGAGGCATTCCAGCGCTGTAACTGCATGGCCACAGCCGCTGCTAGGCAGGATTCCCACGCCATGCCGTGCTCCAGACATTCAGCTCCCCCAAGTTCGAGGTGCTTCACTAACCGGTGCTCCCGAAGAGACCGGCTTCGAAGGTAATTACAGAACTCTCCTCGAGCTCACAGATGAGGTTATCAACGGGCAGGCTTTCTTTCTTGCCAGCACTCTTGTTGAAACCTTGTATGAGCATTTCGGGCCTATTGATGCTTCGCGCCCAAGCCCTGTTTCCCTCACTGCTCATTTGCCTCAGGGGATCCACTATGATCTCAGCCATGTTGCGATTCGCCTCACGCGAACCTTCGATGAGGTTGTGCCTTTCCTCCACAGTCAGTGGCCACTTCCCCGGGCTCTTCCTCCTGGGCTTCGTTTGCATCAAGCCACTTCCACTGCCCTAGCCCTTGAAGGGGAAGTAACCTCAGAAGACTGTAGCGTCGAAATCTACACTGACGGCTCTTTTAATGGCACCTTGAGTGCTTGGGCTTTTGCCATTGTTGATCTTAGGGCTTCCTCTCGCACTCTTAGGGGGTGGTGCAGAGGTCCCGTTGCCTTACAGGGTGAGCAGGCATACATTGGTGCCGCGTCGCACTCTGCCCTCGAAGCTGAGCGTACTGCACTATTCTGGGCTGTTGCTTGGGCCTTGTCCTATGCAGATGGCCGCACGCGTATATGGACAGACTCTCTTTCTGTTCTGCATCAGACTAATGGCCAATGGGGGGGTACGGCATCTTCTACCCTTGCCAAGGCCTGCCGTGCCCTTGCACATGCTGCCGAATCCTCCAGAAACGTTTGCTTCTCTGCATTTCAGCATGTTAGGGCGCATCGAGGTGATCCTTACAATGAGCTTGTTGATGTCCTTGCCAAAGGTCATTGGATCACTGCCACTCCCATACCTGACCCCTTCTGTCGACTGCCAGACTGGGTCCATGATGGCTCTATTGAATGGATGTGGCTGCTCTGTGAGGCCACCAGAGACCCGAGCCAGTGGCCTGCCCTTCAAGGTACCAACCTTGTTGACGCCTCACGTAGCGTCGCCCCAGCCCACCTAGATCCCAGACGCGCCCTTGGCTTGCGCCCTCCTGTGCTAGAGCCCTCTGTAACGCAGGCTGCCCCTCTCAGCCTATGGCTCACTCTTGTGACTGCCAATGTTCAAACGTTAGACGAGGATGCTGCGAAGGGCCTGTTGGGGCGCGTCCCATTCATCCGTGAGCAGCTAGAATGGGTTGGAGCTTGCTTGATAGGCTTACAGGAGACGCGTGCCAAGACTACTGAAACAATAGTCTCTGCGACTCATTATCGATTCATCTCTGCGGCCAATAGCAAGGGCTGTCTTGGGGTTGAACTTTGGGTCTCCCGTACGATACCTTTTGCCACTCAAAACGGACATTCATTGTGCTTCGGGCTAGAGGACTTCAGGGTCTTAGCCTGGTCCCCTAGACATCTTTTTGTTAAGTGTGTCAGGGGCAGCCTGCGATTCTTTATCGCTGTTTGTCACGCCCCGACAGCTCTCGATCCCACTAGGGAGACTTGGTGGCGCAAATTTGCTGATGATCTTAATGGATATGCCGGAGACCTGCCTGTCCTTGTTTTAGGTGATCTCAATCTGCGCCTCATTGAGGAATGGGAAGACAGTGTCGGAGATCTCTGTTGGGAGAAAGGCGGTCCACCTCCCCAGCCATTCTTCCGCATTTTGGCTCAGCATGGACTGTGGGTGCCCTCCACCTTTACTGCTTGCCATACTGGTCTCTCTCACACATGGGTGTCCCCAGGTCAGGGGTCGCTTTCTCGCATTGACTTCATTTTGATACCCAAAACCTGGCGAGTTGGTGCTGGATCCTCCAAGGTCCTTTATGATGTTGATTTTGGCCAGGCTGGGATTGATCATTTCCCTGCGTCTCTCGAAGCCACTGCCATCCTCACTGCCAAGGCCTTTCGTGGACCTAAGTCACCACGCATTGATGTTGATCGATTGCAGTCCCCTGAACATGCTGGATTCGTCCAAGCCATTTGTCAGACTGCTCCAGCTGTTCCGTGGCATGTCGATGCCCACACTCACTATGACCTCTTTGCCAGGCACCTAGTCGATAACCTTGCCCTTGCGTTCCCAGCAGCACGCTCAGCGAAGCGTAAGACCTTCTTTTCTGATGGGACATGGTCGCTTCGGCAGCAAAGAGTCAGCCTCAGAAAAATTGCTCACAAAGCTTCTGCTTGGGTTGTTAACTTCGAGGTTCGATTTGCTTGGGTTGCTTGGTCTGTCGGAAGAAGCCTTCAATGGGGTGGCCTTCTTTCCCTTGCTGACCTCCTGCGAAGTGTCTCTGACTTGCGAAGAAGTGTCGAGGACCTTCGCAAACTCAAACCGCTGCTCAGGCGCGCTATTCAAGGAGATAAGAAGGACTTCACGCATGCTACGGCAGTAACAGCAGCTGCCAGCTCCTCCAAGGATACTTTCCACAAACTAAGGACCTTACTTGGGCAGCCTAAAAGAAAGACTCAGGGTTCTAGAGCTATCCCTGCGGTTAAGTTAGAGGATGGCAGCATTGCGAGAGATCCCGAGGAGGCCGAGGCTCGCTGGATTAGACACTTTAGCTCCATTGAGGCTGGGGAACCGCAGACCCCTACCCACATTGCAGATCAGTGCCGGTCTCGACAGGCTGAGCTTGACCTCACTGACTACGATATCGAAGCCTCTGACATTCTGACCAGGACACAGATTGAGGATGGACTCAGAGCTTCTGTGCCTGGGAAAGCAGCTGGGAAAGATAGAGTCCCAGCTGGCCTCCTTCGAGCCTGCCCTTCTGGCCTCTCCCGGCCCCTTTTCTCCATTGTCCTCAAATTCACCATGAGGCTGCAAGAACCCATACAATGGAAAGGGGGGGATCTGCACGCCGTGTGGAAAAAGAAAGGTTCTCCCCTAGACTGTGAAAGTTACCGCGCCATACTGGTTAGCAGCTCCATTGGCAAAGCCGTCCACGGGGCCCTAAGGACGAGCTGCAGCAAGCACCTCGATGCAGCTGCCGCTCCAATGCAAGTTGGGGGAAGAGCAGGGTTCCCCGTTCAATTTGTTTTGCAGGCCGCCAGGCTCTGGCAGGAAAGATGCCGCGCTCGCCGCACCAGTTGCGCCATAATTTTCCTCGATCTTAAAGAAGCATTTCATAGGGTTGCCCGGGCCCTCGTTCATGGTGGGCGGCCAGACGAGGCTTCTATTGACAACGTCATAGCCACCCTTGGCCTGGATCCCTCTGTCGCGCCCCGGCTCCGGGCATATGTGCGGGATCAGTCCTTGATCCAGGCGGCAGGCGCACCTCTGGTCCTGTCTCGCATGATTGAGGAAACCAACTGTGACACCTGGTTCGCTCACGGGGCCTTTGAAGGCACAGCCACAGTCCGGGCCGGTACCCGCCCCGGAGACAATCTCGCCGACATGATCTTTTCCTTTTTATTCGCGGAACTATTAAAAAACCTACGCAGCCGCTTTGCGTCTGAGGGATTGTCGTCCTCACTGCCCTGGGACGACAAGTGGCTATGCGCTGGGCCAGAGATTGTCTCTGCAGACACTGCAGGCCCAGACTCGGTTAGACCGGTTGACGTAACTTGGATGGATGACCTCGCGCTCCTCGTCGAGGACCCGAGACCGTCCGTGTTACTCGACAAGATTACCCGCGTTGCCACAGCTACGCTCGACGAGTGTATGAAAGCCACATTGGTGCCCAATCTTGCAGCTGGCAAAACAGAATGCGTCGCTGCCTTTTACGGGCCTGGGTCTAAAAAAGTTGCGACCGAGACATTCAGGGGTAGCGACCCCAGCCTCCCCCTGCAGTCTGACATATGGCCGGATGCCCGTCTGCGACTTGTTTCGACGTACAAGCATGTTGGGGGACTTATTCAGGCTGGAGGGGGTACTTCCAAGGAGGTACGCTCCAGAATAGGCGCTGCCTGGGCTGCGTTCAGGCACCACCGACGTCAGGTCTTTTCTTCTCCGGTGGTCCACACTAAGGACAAAGCCGTATTGTTCTCTGCTGTGGTCGAGTCCACCCTGTTCTACGGGGTTGGAGCTTGGCCTGCCCACGAGAGCGCTGCCACTTTGAAATTTCAGGGGGCTCTTGTTGGCATGGCTCGTCTCATGCTCCGGCCTCGCTTCCCTTACCCTGTTGCCAGACACCTCAGTGGTCTTTACGCCCTTGCGTGCGCCCGTATCTTGCCGGCCGAGGTTGCGATTTCGCTTGAACGCCTCCGACATTTCCGTCTTGTAGCGTCCAAGGGGTGTGCAGATCTTTGGGCCCTTCTGCATGCGGAGCGATCTTGGCTGTGCCAGGCACAGCTTGCGCTGCGTTGGGCAGGCGAGCTTCGCAATAGGGCGGGACTGGGTGACCCAGACGTTGCTGACTGGGATACCTCCGTCACTATTGCGCGTACGGACGCAAGGGCATGGAAGCGAATAGTGAAGCAGACTAAGGTTGTAGCTGGCCTCGTCGCTCTATGGAATGCCGAAGTACAGCAATACCATGGTCTGATTTTTCGCCAGCTTCGCCTTGCAGGGGCATATCTCGATGATGTCGTTTCTGAGCAAGCGACCTCCGAGATCTGTGCCCAGTGCGGGCAAGTTTTTCCGGATAAGCGCTCCTGGTCGCATCATGCATTCAAGGTGCACGGGCGTGTTCGTGAAGAGCGTCTCCTTGTCAATGGCCAGCAATGTCCAGTGTGCCTACGTCACTACCGTAACACCGAAAAGCTTTGCAACCATCTGAGGTATTCGGTTGCTTGCAAATCTGCCTTACTCTGTTCAGGGGCTGTAGTGGCTCCAACCCCTGGGGTCGGCAGTCGGAAGTTTGCGGACGGCTCCAAGTCACAACTCCCTACCGTACAGGCGGCAGGACCCGTCAGTCAGTGGAGCACTGGTCAGGCCCTTTTTGAGGAGCTTCGCCCTTCTGAGGAGGTCCTTGCTGCCCTAGAAGACCTCTGGTGTCACGGCCAGCTCACTTGCTGCACCTATGCGGATGTTCTTGAAGCCTATCGGAAGGCCTTTTGCTGTTGTTGCCTCCAGCTTTCACGCCTAAAGGCCACGGCCCAGGAGTGGCATAAGCAGCTGCAAGCCGTCCTTTCTGAGGACGAGGAATGGCCACTACAATGGTGCGGCTGGCATTCCAGTGTCTCTGCATTGCTACTGAGGGTCTCCTGGGCTGAGTGGCTTGTGCCCGATCCCGTCTCTCCGTTGTTTGCGGTCTCCACCTTTCGTGACGCCAGCATCCAGCTACCTTGGCTCCTCTTTGACCATGTTGCCCTTCCCCTTCCTGTGGCGGGGCTTCCCATTGGCCGTGTTGTTGCTGCTGAAGATCCTGGGGTTGGATGCTATCAGTCGCATCAGGAGGCTTCTGCTACTCCAGCAAGTCTCAATGTTGACGATTGGCCGGCAGAGAGTGCTGCTAATTCTGTAACACTCTTCTCCTGTGTTGGGTTGATGGTCTCCTTGACCTTACTGGGCCCCTTCCGTTCGTACAGGGAAGTCGAGCCCAGGCTACACAACCTACGCCTTTTGTCCGACCTTGCCAGAGGTTCCCTCAGACTCTGGTGCAAGGGTTTCCCGTGTGTGCTCCTTTTGCCTGATATACTTTGCCCAGGTCTGGCCACCCTAGGTAGAGTTGCGCCTTTTTCCGCTTCTGGAAAGAGTTTCAAGGTGCTGGGCAATGTACCATGCGCGGAATTTTTGTCCTTCTTCTCTTAATTACTGCATGCTTGTAAAGGCTGCGTCCGATCTGGACTCCGAGCCCTGAAATCAGATATATATATATATATGCATGCATATATATATATATAGAACCCTAAACTCAAATCACCTCAAGCCTACAGACCTAGGGTTTAAGGTTTCGTTTTGGCGTTTAGGCTTCTGCCCTCCGCCGTCTGCGGGCGGGTTTTGAGTGCATTGGCTTCAGGACCCTCAAGCAAGCGTTAACTTAGCATGGGGTCCAAAACGGGCTCTTATGAGGGTTCAATCTACGTGCACTATAAGGCTTCTATAGACAAGCAAGCCCATAAGCCCCTGACCAACTCGATGCCCTGTGCCGTTCAATACATGCGATTCTGAGCGTCCTCAAACTTCCAAGAATACAAGCGACTCTGAGCGTCATCAAGCCTCCAAGGTCATGTATGCTGCTGGCTGCGATTTCGCATCTGATAACTAGTAGAACGGAAGCCGGGAGATTGCAATCTACACCTGTTGGAATCTAGACGTGCGTCGGCCTTTGGTTTGTCCCTATGCATACTAATAATGTCACGTGTTGGGATTGTGTTGAGTTCGCTGCAACATCTGCCGTCGAAGATACTTCTCCGATTCCATTCCAGCAGACCCAGGCACTTGGCTGGATATACTTATAAAGACCCTTGCACATTCCATTGTAGTTCCTTTTTGTGGCCCATATGTAGGATCCCATAAGGTAGTTCAAAAAGAACCTACAATGGAGCTCATGTGTCGGGTACTTATGCACCCAGAAGATTTCCCATGCATGCTGCGTGAGCACGACGACAGGCCGCCTTCTCGACGTGGCATGTGAGCGGTCGTCTTGCGGGCGCAAGGCTGCTTGGTGCTGACCCGAGGAGTCCTATGTACCCTATGGGGGATACTTGCCCCAATCACAATAGTAATTCCTACTGTAGAAACCGTACAATCTGCACCCCATGGGTGCATGGAGGCTGTCCAAAGCTGATCAGCATGGCAAAAACAATAGCCAGAGACTTGTTTGAGGTTGCTGGCTGCATCACGCAAGTAGATGTAGCCACATCAAGCGTAAGGCGTTGCCCACTCCGTGTCTCGTTCCGAGGTTGCCGTGGTCAACGCTGCATCAGCCTACCATGCAGGCTGTCTTGGCACGGAGAGCTGCAAGCCAAGTAATCGAATAGCAAGAAAGTACTGGTCACACGATTGTCGCGCGTATGTGTATGTTATAAGAGAAGAGAGTATGCGATGTCAAGGTACGACACTTCAGGATCAGGAACGTTTGAATGACCTTCGCATCCCGAAAGTTAAGTTCTGACCTTACACCGCTAACCCCCCCATAAACACTCAACACCAAACACCTAAACCCTGAACCCTCAACCCCAAAACCCTAAACCCCTAAACCCCTACACCCTGAACCATTAAACCCTAAACCCCTAAACCCTAAACCCTGAACCCCTAACCCTGAACCCCTAAACCCTACACCCCTAGACCCTAAACCCTAAACCCCTAAACTAGACCCCTAAACCCTAAACCCCTAAACCCCTAAACCCTTAACCCTTAACTCCCAAGAGTCCTGTTAGCCATAGATTTCTCGAAGGCCGGTAGCAGAGCACCCTAAGATACCCTGAGCCCGAGCAAACCCCAGACCCTTGCCACATAAATCCTTAGAGATCTCTAGAGTTTAGGGTTTATAAACGGTTTATAGGGCTAATAGCACCCGAAGCCCAGAAATCCGAATTCCTCGGCCCTTCACTTTAACACGCTGGCACCCGTGAGCTGTTAGCAAACCTTAGAGACGCTTATCATAAAGAATCCTTCGAGTAACCCCTAGAGACCCCATATGGAACCCTCCCGAAGGCCTTCAGAGATCAATGTTCAATGTTACCCTAACCTCCCAGGTACCTACTATATAGGGTACTAGAGCCCCTAGGGCCCTATATAGTAGGTACCTGGGCGGTTAGGGAATTGTCAATATTATTTCCTATAGAGTTGCCTGTAAGTATACTCCAACTTACTATACATAGTCCAGTTCCTCATGATGTCTACTATATTGTATCATACCAGAAACCTAAACCCTAAACCCTAAGCCCTAAAATTGTATCATACCAGAAACCCTAAGCCCTAAACCCTATACCCTATAAACCCTAAACCCTAAACTACTACCTTGAAAAAGAAGCCTCCCCGAAGGCCTTAAAGAGCAGGCGGCGGCTTTTTGACGGGAGGGCGCCATGCCCTGGAGGAGTGCCTCGCCCTAGACCCGTAAACCCTACCCCTTAGGGTTTAGGGTTTAGGGTTCAGGGGTTAGGGTTTAGGGTTCAGGGTTTAGGGTTTAGGGTTTTGGGGTTTGGGGTTTAGGGTTCAGGGTTTAGGGTCCGCCAGCGCAGGTCGGCGCCCAGGTCAACTCCTTCTTTAATGGGGCTGCCCT